TAAAGTTTTCCTTTATTAATTATAAACAATGCCTTGTTTATGACTCTTTAACATGAAATATTACATGTTGTAATATGAAATGTTACATTTGGTAGCAGCGAATGCTTCTTTTATCCTACCCTTTTCTTAAAATTCCTTATTGTTTTCTTTCTTCTTGCCACTTTTCTTGGGTAATTCTCTCTTGTTTTCATTGCTTTTCTCTCTCCAAGTCCCACAAAGGTTCGCCCAAGGTTACACAGGATTGGCAAAGGTATACAAAGGTTATGCAAAGTAAACTCGAGGTCACTATGAAGGTCTGTGAAAGGGCTATGCAAAGGGATCGACAAAGGTATCGCAAAAGTCACACGAAGGTCTAAAGGTATGCTGCATCCAAGGACATTACCAGGACTCATAAAAAAGGAACTATAAGGTTAAACGAAGCTACACAAAGGCATTATAAAGGTCAAATAAAGGTTTGATTGGTAAAGGACTTATTAAAGGTCTCTGAAAGGATTTCCAAAGGCTGAACAAAGGTACCACGAAGGTCTACGCAAGGGTAATACAAGGTCTGAGCTCTGAAAACACCACCACACCCACACCGCTTTGGAAATAAATAAACCATCTCGCTTCAAGGTTAAATTTATGAAGGTCATTGAAGGTATCACTAGGAGGAAATGACACTGACAACTGGCACTCTAATGGCTCTATGTTATGAACATATTCTACTGTTAAGCGTGGATTTTTGAGGAGTTCCTTGACTTTCCATTCATACTAGTGAAGAGGAAGGAAAGCAGTAACAACTGGGTTGTTAACAAAAAAGGACTGTTCTTCCCAAGGAATCCTGCCCAAAGGTCATCCAAGGACCCTCTTACTAAAGGTCACGCAGGAGCTGTGCCATAGGAAAAATCTTGACCGCCTTGACATCACCATGTAACCCGATCAAACACCTACACAAGGAAGGCTGCCTTAATATCACAAAGGTGACCAGGACAAACATCAATATTTGCTCCTACACCAAAGGTTCCTTTGTGAATCATAATACCCTAAAGTACTATGAAAGCCAAATTGTGTGGGACGAGGATTAAAGGTTACGCCGATGTAAACAACATGGTTTATATATGAGAAATCTGATCTGCAGGATGATGTGTTATGATTGGACAATCTGTAATGACTGAATAACATCATCTGCAAATGATCTGATTGGACCAGGAGAAAACCACTAATGACACTCTCACCATTGACTGGAACTGAGTCAATGATTTGCCCCACAGATTTAGGACGGAACAACGACCGTATCACGTGACACGACTGTCCAACGCACCAGGATAAAGATAAATGGCTCATTGCATCATACGATAGCGAAACGTTACGCAACGTACTACGACCTACACTACACAAAGGCCTAGCGTCACACGAGATTGAAACAAAGGTTGGATCAATGGACACGAATATAAACCCCATGGTATAAGTCTGGACAGCATTTCGATATAGGTTTCGAATATAAGGCTGGGCACAGCATCGACCTTTGGATGGATAAATACCATCTGGTATTCTAATCCACGAAACGTGACATGACCGTACCATATGCCGTACTAGAACGGAGGACACACACAATAGCAAAACGTAGTACGAAGCAAGGATGCCAACGTAACGCAGGGACACCAACGTAGCGCAAGGACACCACCGTACCGCCGGAACACCGTAGCACGAGGACGCCACGACACCATGAAGATGCTGCAAGAAGCTCCGGATGCTACCGAGACAAGAGGTCGCCGCAGCAACGTGGAACGTAAAGACAAGTGCCGGAACGCCGCCGCAATATAGGATTGCCGCCGCACTACCGGGACGCCGTCGTAACACGAAGTTACCGCTATATGCGCCGGATGCTGCCGCAATATGTGATTGCCACAGTATCGACGGGACGCCGCCGCAAAAAGAAGTTGCCACTTGAAGTGCCGGATGCCGCCACGATATAGGATCGCCGCCGCATCGACGGGACGTCGCCACAGCATGAAGTTGTCGCTACATGCGCCCAGTGCCGCCGTAACATGAGGTCACCGCCGCACTGATGGGATGCCACTTTATGCGCCGGATGCTGCCGCAACGTAATGCCGCAGCATCGACGGGACGACGCCGCAATGAGATATTGCCACTAGAACACCTGAAGACTTGAACACCGCCACATAAAACCGCGCCTCACTGACAGACAAGACGTCGCCACACAACATTGATGCTACACGAGATGCTGCAAGAATGCTACAAGACAGAACGCCGCTACACGAAATGCCGCACCGCCACAGAACGCCGTAAAACACGATGTAATGACGCCGCAACACGGAATGCCACCATACAACATGCTAGATGAAACACCACGACGTGATACACCACTGTATAACGTGCTGCGAGACAGACAAGACGCTATAGCACAGGACGCCGCCGCACACGACGCCACAGTACGATACGACGTTGTGACAATGCATGGAACGCCGCAGTAATCGCCGCCGCCACCAATCACAGTGCGTCGCAGCAATTCCCGCCGCCAGAAATTCCATCATGATCGACGCCGCACTCTGCCGCACGGATACGTCACGAAATGATCACCACGCCGCCATGTTACACGAAGCGCGAAACGATAATACTCCTGAAACGCGAAGCGAAATGCCGCTAAAAGACCAAGGAAACGTCGCGAAATGTAATACGGACGATGCCACAGGAATATAGAAGTCGCCAAGGACAACACTACTTGCTTTAGAATACGACGCCACACCAGCCACAACCACCGTACTAGTCATATCTCTGCTTAAAAATATCAAAAATGATCAAAATTTTTTTTTGAGGTCATTGAGGACAATGACTTTTTAAGGAGGGGAGAATGTAACAGTATTAATGGCGAAGTGAGTGACACTAAGTGGGTCACACAAGTGGCACGAACAAGCCAATGGAAGGAGCA